ATTGCCACCTACAAAAGCTTCAGAAACATGTTCACATCTATTAAACAAAAAACTGAACGAGACTACTTCTCTAACAAACTTGAAGACGCACATAACAATGTTGGACAAAAATGGAACACTATCAAAGAAATTCTAAACAAGCAACCTCCTAACTCATCAATCACTAAACTAACTATCAACAACCAAGCAATTAAAAATAAACAAGAAATATGTGACCTTCTCAACACCCACTTTGCAAACATCGCTAGTCAACTACTCTCAAACTAACCTCCCTACTATGGTAATCCTACAGATTTTATGAGCCCATCCACACCCCATTCCATTTGTCTATATTCTGTTACTGAACAAGAAATATTAACTACTGTTAATATCTTGAAAAACAAAAAGAGCTATGCAGACGATGGACTCAACATGTTCCTTATCAAAAGCATAATTTCCTCTATCATATCACCACTTAATCATATCTTCAATTTATCACTAAGCACTGGAATCTTTCCTGACTCATTTAAAATAGCCAAAATCATACCAGTATTCAAGAAAGGAAACAAAGATGACATTAACAACTACAGACCCATCTCCATTCTTTCCCCGCTGTCAAAAATTCTTGAAAAACTTTTCTTTAAAAGACTCTCTAATTTCTTCTGCTCCAACAATACTATCTGCAATAACCAATACGGATTCAGACCCAACCACTCAACTAAGCTTGCTATTCTTGACTTCACTCAGCACATACTAAATGAAATGAATAACAAAAATCTTTCTATTGGCATTTTCCTGGACTTATCCAAAGTTCGATGTCATCGATCACAAAATACTCCTATCCAAACTACATCATTACGGAGTAAGAGGCACAGCTCACAACTGGATGAGAAGCTATCTTTCATCACGGACACAATATGTTTCCATGGACAACATCAATTCAAAGCACGCTCTTATTCATCACGGAGTGCCACAAGGATCCTTACTAGGACCCCTTCTATTTTCTATCTACATAAATGACCTCTGCAATGTTTCGCCCTCAACCAAATGCGTACTGTTCGCAGACGACACCAACCTTCTTTTTACTTCCAACAACCTACCAGATTGCTCTGAACATATCAATCTTGAACTCCAAAAATACTCTAACTGGTTATCCAATAACAAACTAATCATAAATTATTCGAAATGTGCCTACATTATTTTTGGCCCAAAAATACTCACCAACCAAGCTCCTAACCTAAACCTATTAGTTAATGGTGTTCCTATAAGCCGCACCCTGTCTACCAAATTTCTTGGAATCACCATCACAGAAAATCTTTCATGGAATTCTCACCTACAAACTACCTCAGACAAAATCAACAAACTCACAGGCATCTTCTACAAAATCAAATATAAACTCTCTCTTTCTGCTCTTCGCACGCTTTATTACACATTCATCTACCCTTATCTAACCTACTTCATCACACTATGGGGAAATAGTCCAAAAAGCCACCTGAATAACCTAATACTTTCCCAAAAAAGATCAATACGTTTAATTTTTAACCTCAAACCCGATTCTCATACTAAACCCTTCTTCCTAGCAAAAAAAATTTTACCAGTTAACTTCATCTGTCTTTACTACTCTGCTTTATTCGTTTTTAAATTTATCAACAATCTTCTCCCACCTCACTTTATCAACTTCTACACATTAAGTAACTCCGTTCAATCTACAACCACTAGACACACCTCTCTCTTCTATATCTACAAAACTCGCCTCAAATTAATCCAGACAAGCATAAAAATAACAGGTCCTAAAATTTGGACAGAACTTTTACCTCCCCATCTAAGAGCCATCATAAACCTACAACATTCAAGTCAAAATTCCGTGCTTTTTTATTGACACTGGATCTCGACTCCACCACCTAATATTATATTAAGAATAAGCTAGAACAAATGATGCGGATGAATGGTCTTTATGAATGGTTAAACATTTATGTGTTTATATATGTACTGAGCGAACATTTACATAGTTATATGTCTATATATGTATGACACGAACATTTACTTATTTATCTTCAATTATCTTTCTGCTTCAGTTATTTTCCTTATTTTATTTCATTAACTATTCATGTATTTACCTGCGGTGGCCACCACAAGACAAACAGTCTTATTCGGTCTCCGCATATTCAACTTCATAACTTTTATTCACTTATTTGATATGTTGTTGATTATGAATAAAACTTTGAAAATGAAATGAAAAAAATGAAAATGAAGTATACCTCAACGATCATGATGAGTTTGTTCGTTTAAACGTTTTTAAAATGAAACATCTCTAACATTTTTAATACATTTATAGTGTGACGGTTTCACATTTCTTAAGATAAATGTTAAAATTTGCCAAAAGATGTGATTTTTTCTAGTAAACTCAAAAGCTCTTAAAAACAAAATACAAAATACTAACTAGTGCTGATCTTGGTATTCAAAGGGCTAATAAAACAAAAAATTTTGTTGATAACAAATAATTTATGAGCAAGTGCTTCAAATGAACTAAGTATATTTTTCAAATTTAAATTGATTAGTACATAAATAAAGCCCATTGATGCCGTTTGCTAATTTTTAAAACAATTTACACATATTTATCTTGGTGGCATTGAAGAATTTACAGAAATATTTTTTGACGATCTACCAAATTTCAACTAAAACACAAATTCCCAGCCCACCATAGATCGTAACAGTTTTCGAAGTCGATTTTATATTATGACTCATTATCCTTTTTAGATTTTTTTAATACTTAATGTTTACTTCAGTTTTTATAATTTTACATTCATTTACTTTTTTTATTTTCCTCTTACTCTTCATAAATAATCATGATTATTTTTTTGTTCTATAACCTAAACTTTATCAATGGGTGTTCTGTATTCCGGCTTTTGTTTCTTAGTTAAATCTAACTTCAGGCCAGCGTGTAAAAATTATTTCAAAGACCTAAATTTGTAAACACTCATCATTATAGAGTTTCTGAGCAAAATGCTATTTAGCTTTAATAAAAGTTTAATTTTTTCTTCCGACCGAGCCTTGTAACTTGACAAAAGTTTTTTCAAAGACATCCTCAGTTAAATGTTTTAGGATCTTCAGCATGTCAACACGATCGTCATCATTTTTAGACAAACAGTATGTAGGCAGGTATTTTTTTTAAAGCCTTAGCCTGATGTAAAGTTTTTTTTGAATAGATTTTTCCTTAGTACTAATAATTTCGACATTCGTTCTAACTTTCTTGCTAACGTTGTTTAAAAATGTTTCACTTATTTCATTTTTTAAAGTTTTAATGTCTTCACGCAAAACCGTATCAGATTTCGGTAGTGGTACATTGAAATTCGCCAAAATTTGAGGTCTGTAGGCTTTGGGACAACAAAGAAGAAAAAGCCCCTAATTTTTCAGATGTTATGTGTTTCTCATAAATTCATTTTCAACAAATAAATTTATTTCAGCAAAAATGATTCAGCTTAAACATTATTTTTTAATTTATCACAGTTTCTTATATAGCCCGCACAAATCACCTCGTTAGCTCGTGGTGTTGAAGATTGTTAATTTTTAGTCGTTAGGATTTCAATCCGATATATCAATGTTTTCATACTATACCGTCATATGTTATATTTTCATGTTGCTGTTGTTTGGCCCGAATACAAAAGATTCCCGGCTGTCACATGATATATACGTGATGCGTTAATTTGAGCGTATTCATCTACGCTACGTGTTTGTTGATAGATTTTATAATAATTAAAGTTTAGTGTGAATAACAATATTAAACTAATGATAAGAAGGTTAACATAAAATATGAAAATTGTAATAATATTTTAAATAGTTGTTAGCAATATTAAAAAAACTGGATTTCGAGATTAAATGTATTCGGGAATAAATTGTATGCGAAATCAAATGAAGTTGGGACCAAGTGAGTGGAATTAAATGTAGCGAGATAAAATGTAAGCAAACCTTGTTTAAAAATAGACAAAATGATGAACAATAAAAACCAATGAAAATTATTTTCTTTATTTCCATATTTAAATTTTAAGTAAGTAGAAAACAAATCTTCATAAGATTAATATGAAACAATCACCTGTACACGTCTCATTGTTTTGTGAGAGAATTCGGCCAGGTCTACATGTGCATTTGTATGTATTGTAACCAGTTCGCTCACACAAATCGCTGCAAATAGGTTTTAACCGTCCATTGTGGCGGTGAAAGCAGGGTGATCGATCTGTTTAAAACAAAAATCTCTGAAATTAGATATAACTAAAAATCGATCGTTTGTTTTGATCTTCATTTAATTTTTATAATTATTTGGACAATGAAAATGCTTGATATGCACAAAATGTTTTGAAGAAAAAAAAACAACAACGCAGAATTGAAAAATGTTTCATGTCCTATTGGAAGACCGTTTTCAAACATAAAACAATAATAATAAGTAACACCAATTTCAACAACATTTGAACCAACCTTTTATACAAAGATAACCATACCGCAAGACAAACCCGTGAGGACACAAACAACGACGTCTGCCTCTTGATGACGTAACACATACGTCACTGCATAATGGTTTCAATGAAGTGCAGATACTCTCATGAGCTATTTTATATTTTAATCCATATTTAGTTTAATTGGAAAAATGAGATTTATATGATCTTTAATGATAGATCTTAGAGTTTGAGTTTTCAGCAGACTAAAAAACTTGCTTATGTGATCTCAAAAAAATGAGATTGAATCAAACGTTATATTGTTCATGAATGTAAAAAACTTTTTGAAGAAAACCTTTTTTATAGATATTACGATCAGCGGTGACAATGGCAACAGACTTGAACTTATCACCCAGCGACACGTTTTTATTGTGTTCAATGTACATCTTATTTTGCATGAAGACAAGCTGCTGGTCTACATTAATCCAGATCAATTGGTTGCGAAAGTAAGTAAGACGAACAGGATGTGGAGAAATTCTTAAATGTTTATTAGTTCAATAATATATTAGATACAGAATGTTTGACCGAAAACTTGTTTTATAATTTAATGAAAAAGTAACTCATAGACGAATTAACAAAAAGATTTAATCTATGAAATCCATATTTTTTGAATGATTTGCTTCAAACAAAAAAATTTATTAGTGAAAATTTCACAAAGTTTATGAAGAAAACAAAATATTGTTCTAAATAGTTTTGTACCTTGGCAGATCTAGACAAACTTTAGCGTGGGGCTTAAATTTAGAAAATTTTTCAAACGTTGACCAGGAAAATTTTATAAAATGTTGAAATGTGTTTAAATGTTGACCAACATTTTGACGGAAAACAAACATTTCAAGCTGACGATATTTTTTTGCTTATTACGTGATTTTTTTTAGTTAAAAACGGCACTTTTTTGATTCAAACATTAAATTTTTCTGACTTTTAATACGACTAAAGCTCAAACAGGAGCCACGGCCACCCCTATATCCACCACTGGCTTTGTATCTACTTCTGTAAGGAATATATGACATGCTTCATACTTTTATATTCATACTCCAAGTACTCAGAATTATTTATTACTGAAGTTCTTTAATTAAATAGTTTTATAAATAAATAAAAAATACATGCATGCATACTTTACTGACTTTTAATACAAATACTATTACCGTCATGCACAAAAAGCGTTCAAAACTGTTATCTTCGAGCTTGATAATATGTTCGCAAAAATCTGAAGGTTCGAAAATTACTGCCAGCAAAATATTGATATGAAAAAGAAAGAATTTTCCATGTTAAAAATATTGCAAGATATGTTGCTACTGATGTGGTGGAGTATCTTAGTACAATCAATGTTCAAGTTGTGTCTTGTTATCTAATATTCAAAAGAAGGGGTGATGATGTTAAGCGAAATGATGTTCAGCCATCCACTTCATTCAGAAGATGTATAGATACAAAGTACGCCAATGTGATTACCAAAGACAGTTCATGGCCTAAGGGTGTTTGAATCAAAGATTGGTTGATCAATAATAACAGCGAAGTATGATGTTAAACTGCATTGCAACCACTCTGAACGTATTTCTAGTTAGGAGCTGGTTGTCCAGGAAAGGAAACAACACCGGATGAGGCGAATTTTCATGAACCAATTGATTATTTCTGTTGCATTTTATGGAATAACTTAACATTTAACAAAAACAGTTTGTTTATTTAATCCTGTTAACGTCTTTGAAGCGATTTAATTGGCGCTATAAATATCTCTTAATTATATTACGTATGGAAAACAATGTCGAATCAACAAATTGGGTCAGCGGTGAGTACTAGAATGAGTAAAAATTCTTATCCTTGACGAACATTTCCGTGTACATGTTCCATAGATCCACACACTTGTACTATCACCGCTTAGGGCCGTCTGTTTTCGTCAAATCCTTTTATAAGCGAAAGCAGCAGTTCCAGTTCTAAAGCGAAAACAGCCGACTGGGTAGACTTTCTCCATCCCAAGCACCGCAGAACATTAATACAAAAGGTTTTGGGATCTGAACCACATTTTTTATATTTTCTTTCAAGCTGTTTTTATATCTACGTACAGGGCCACATGCCAATCAACTTTCCGTCGCCAGAGAGCCAAAAAAAAATCTGCTTAAAAATTTTTGTGTTTTTTTTTTGATAATTTTTTTGATAAAAATTATTGATAACATGCCCTATCAAACAAAACTGAGTTTGAGGCAAAAACTTTCTACGTTCTTTGCATCACGCTCACAGCATATATTAGAGACAACCTGCACAAATAAATTAGTTTAAGGTAGAAAAAGTTCGGTAAGAAGGCCGATTTCAGCAGACACAATAAATTGCGACGTGATTACTGACCATTAGTATTGATACAGCAATTTAGTCGGAGCCGAGACCGATTTGATGAAAAAAATCGTCTATATAGCCAACGACAATTTTCTGTTTGGGTTACTCCCATAGCCTTCCCACGTGGCTGTAAGGCTGCGAAAGTTTAAAGTTAGAGATTTTTTTCTCCTTGGTTAACAACCTTCGCCAAGGCTATTGAGCTCTACCTGCCCGGAACAACTGGTCATGGCGCCGGTTATTCGCCTTCACCTGCTCTTTTTAGTTTTAACAGCTTTGCCACCTGAAGGCCAGAAGTAGAACTTAATTGACCAAGGTGAGATACCTACCGCCGATGGGAACATTTTCTAGGAAATGGAATTTCATTTCTCATCCCTACTCCCAGCATAGTCAACTCGTTTGAAGCCTAATAATACATACATACAATATACATGCAAGCATGCATGCATACATACAAACATACATACATAAATTTTTTTCCCAAAAAAGAAATTGTTATTGGAAAAAACTGATCAACAAAAATTGCGGATCTCCTAAGAATTTATTGAATATAGTAAACAAAAACAATGTTATGAAGTTACCGGAGAATCGTCTAATGAAATAATTAACTTAGATTCGTCTCAGTTTGCTAAGTATTTTGATAATAAAATTAATAGAATAAGACAGACCACCAATGTTACTAACAGAACAAAAATTCATCAGACTGTGTCTAACATAAACTGCTCTTTTTCTCAATTTACGCTTCTTACAGAATTGGAGGTCAAAAAAGTGGTGCTCAGCTTACCATCGAAGACTTGTTTGGTTTATGTCTTTCCCACACAATTTAGAAAAATATATTGATATGTTTATAGTTTTTCTGACGAGTTTTATAAATTTTAGTTTAAGCAGCGGTTTTTTTCCTCTTGGGTATAAACAAGCAGTAATTTATACGGTATTAAAAAAAGTGAACATGAATAAAAATGATTTGACTAGTTATAGACATTTCCAATATTTGTTTTATTTCTAAAGTAATCGAACAAGTCGTTGTTAAACAGCTTTTGAATTATTTGACTTTAAACAGCCTGTTACCAGTTCATCAGTCAAAATATCGTCAACACCACTCTACTAAGACAGCGCTACTTTGTGTTTTCTCTGAACTGTTTGCTGCCTTAATAACTTTCTTAGATATGAGTGCAGCTTTTGATTGTGTCGACCATCAAATTCTAGAAAAATTGGCTTATGAATATGGATCTGGTGCAGTTATTGAATGGTTTAGATTATATCTGGGTGGTAGGAAGCAGCAGGTAGTTTTCAGAAATGTATTATCTGAGGAAATGGTGACTAGACTCAGTGCTAAGACCTATTTTTTTGTTTTGTATATTGCCGGGGTTTTGAAGGTGATTGAGGAGTTCGGTTTTAATAATCATGCTTATGCTGATGATATCCAGTTAATAGTTAGCAATAAGCCAGAATTACTAAAATGTGAAATAAAGGGACTCGTCAAGTGTCTAAAAAAATATTGAATTGTGGATGTCTAACAATGTCTTAAATTAAACCAACAAAAGTCAAAAATTTTTCCCATTGGGACATGGCAGCAGTTAAAAAAACTTAATATTGATTCAGTTGAAATCGATGACGTCAAAATTAGTTTTTGTGATAAAGTAACTAATTTGGTTTGTTCACTGGATTCCAGATTATCAATATCATATAAAAACGATAACAAGAGCATGTTCCTTTCGAATCAAAGAATTATATAAGGTTAGAAATTCTTTGAATAAATCTGCCATTCAGACGTTGGTACATGCACTAGTTCATTCGAAATTAGACTATTGCAATGGCCTCTTTTTATTGTTTGCCTGATAAACATGTTTCTACTCTTCAGTCCATTCAGAATAGAGCGGCCAATTGATTGTAGGTGGTCTCAAATATAATCATGTAATTCCAGTTTTGAAAAGTCTTCATTGGCTTACTATAAAAAAAAGAATAACTTACAAAATAAGTCTAATAATGTATAAAGCGTTACATGGCCTATTACCAAGTTACCTAATTAACAAAATAAAAGAAAAATCTGTAATGACGAGTGGCATGAAACTTAGATCAGATGATATCATTTTGCTGGTTGTGCCGGACATCAATTTACAGATCGCATCAAGAAATTTGGCTGTTTCAGGACCGGCTGTTTGGAATAGTTTGCCAAGATCTTTGAAATCTAAGGATTTGAAACGGGACGATTTTAAAATAAACTTGAAAACCTTTTTGTTTACACTTTGATTTCAATACTGAATTGTTTATTTGTAACCGCCATCTTATACTGTGCTTTACTTTAACTCTTATAATTAATTTAATATAGATAGCGCTTTTGAGAACTTTTTGATTTTAATTAGCGCTTAATTAAATATCTTAATAATAAAATAATAATAAATAATAATAATAAATACATACATACATAAAGGACTATCCCTCTTTTCAACGTGAATGTTAAAATCACCCATAAGTACGACATGAGCCTCCGACATTGTAATAAACTCTAACATGGAAATCAACTCTTCAAAGAATAATTGCTACAGGTCATCCAGAGACATTTCAGCCCGAGATTGATAAACTTGTTGGTTGTTTGATGAAGATTGAACGTTGGATGTTGAGCAATTTTTTGAGGTTGAACCGGAGTAAAACTCAGATGCTTCCTGTCGGTACATGGCAGCAGTTGTCTAGACTTAATATAAATTCGGTTGAAGTTGGTGACGTTGAAGTATTATTTGCTTCTACAGTCTTGAATTTGGGGGTATGGCTGGATAGCAGGCTCTCTATGAATGATCAAATAAAGTCGCTATCAATTGCAAGTATGATGCATCTCAGAAAATTGTACAAGATTTGACACTATTTGAACAGATCTGCCATGGAAACACTTGTACATGCTTTTATTACATCTAGATTGGATTATTGTAACAGTTTATACTTTAAATTACCTGACACGTCAATAGATGTACTTCAGTATATTCCAAATCGAGCTGCAAGACTTGTCACAAAAAATTTGAAGTTCGATCATGTGACTCTAATGTTGAACGACTTACACTGGCTAAAAATTGAAAAAAGAATAATTTTTAAAATTGCTATCGTAACGTTTCGGTCATTACATGGTTTAGCATCAGAGTATTTGGCAGACAGGTTCATCAGAAAAACATCTGTGTTGGGTTCGCAGTTGAGATCAAATGACATGAACCTTCTGGTTGTGCCGGCAACGAATTTATAGATCGGATCACGCAAAATTGGAGTTGCTGGACCGGTGGTTTGGAACAGTCTACCAGTGTTTCTGAGAACACCAGATCTATCTTTGTATTTTTTTTAAAAAAGGAGCTGAAGACTCATTTATTTTTGCAGAATTAACAATGTCTTTGTCTTCGTTTGATTAATGTTTTGTTTGCTCATTTATTATAGGGTACGCTTTTGAAATCTTTTTGTAATTAGCGCTGTACAAATTGACTTGTAATAATAATAATACATACATCTATACATACAAACATACATACATACATACGCACGCACGCACGCACACACACACACACACTACACATCACACACACACACACACATACATACATACATACATACATACATACATACATACATACATACTGGGGGAACGGGTTGGCAGCCCAATCCCTCTAAAACTACTCGCTTCGTCCATCAATGAAATATGCCCCCCAGAGCACCAACCGAAAGGAGGGGGAGAATGATGAGCTCACTGGTGACCTACCCGGTAATTTGACTAACGCCTCCAAGAACCCCATAAATGGCGGGGGTGGTCATAAATGTGTATGTGGAAGAGGTTTCACATCTTCAAGAGGATTGAAAGTGCATCAAACTAAGATTAGATGTCTGTCAAGTACGTCGCAACGCTCGAATCTAGTGTTCGGTTAGACGGCGGAATCTACATACCAAGATGAAAACTACAGTGTGAGTGTATTCCACGCGTCGGATTTGGTGGAATGTCCAGTTAGAAAACGCATTAAATTTCTTCCAGCCTCAGAAAAAGTAGTATGGTCAAAATTGGACGCTGAAATCACCAGGACCTTTATGGCGAGCAGTTCAACTGATGTCCGTCTGTTCACGGATTTTTTGTATGAAAAATGTGCAAATCTGTTTGGTTTTCGTAAAACATTGGTCAAACCTGTTATGTGCAGGGCACATCACTATTTAATCTATTTGTTTTTGGGCGATAATTAATGTACAATATGACTTTTACTGTGACATGCTTTTTAGTTTGTTCAATTCGTTTCAATTTGTTTGGTTATAGAACGTTATATTTATTTTACGTAATAAATTAGTATACGTACATTACGCTTATTGTTTTCTATTTAGTTTTAGTTTCAACTTTTCAAAACAACGAAACACAACAGTGGCGCAATCGACAGATTTTTCCTGATTTACGGTGAATACTAATTAGCAAAATGGCGGAAATGAAGGAGATGATAAAATTGTTTGCTGAAATGATGTCGAAGCAACAGTTAGAAATGGCGAAGATATTGCAATCTTTTCAAGCCACGCCAGTACCGAAATTCGAATCATTCCAGCCCGAAAAGAAGTTGTTCAATGACTACATCAAAAGGTTTGAAACCTTCTTGCTGGCCAATTCAGTCTCGAAGCAAAAGGCAGCTCAAGTATTTCTTACAAATCAGAGTTCGGACATATATAAAACCCTGCAGACGGTTTCAAAACAAATGTCACCACCTCGTGATGTTAACTCATTGGATTTCAAGGAGATGGTCAAATATAAGAATTCAGCTTTCAACCCTACAACTTTTCTGATTAGGGAACGCTACAAATTTTGGACAAACTGCAAAAGAAAACCGGGCGAATCAGTTCAAGAATTAGCAAACTGCAGCAACATGTGATTTTCTTAATATTGAAAACCCATTAGATGAAGCGTTGAGGACAAATTTCATTTGCAACATTCAAAATGAAGCAATTTTGAAAGCTCTTTTCATGATTCCAGAAGCTCAGCTTTCTTTTTCCAAAGCTATCGAGATTGCGGATGAAATTGAAAGTGCAGCAACAGTAGCTAAAGACACAGTCTATGGGGGTACATCTCATAGTAATCCGGTTCTGCTGGTACATTCCAGAGGTAACACGGGGGTTCATGCAAAAGGGATGATGAAAGATCCAAAAAGGACTTTCAAACCAGGTAGGAATTTCGGAAAGTCCCATCCAAATTCCAATTCGTCATGTCACAGATGTGGCCACTAAACCTCAGATTGTTCCTTCAAAGGGATGAAATGCTCATAATGCAATAAAATGGGTCACGTAAAGCAAGTGTGTTTTGCTGCAAAATTCGAAAGAAACGTCTTAACCATAAAAACTATTAAAGATGATGATCAACTGCAGCTAGAGCTATATTTTAAAAACTTTAACAAAACTTTTGAAGTGGACAATGGTGCCAGAGAAAATTTTTGCAATGTCAGCGTCTGGGAAGATTTAGGTTCCCCTTCTTTGGTTCCGGTGAGTTCTCAGTATTGTTCAGCAACCGGCAATAAAATCCCAGTCAGAGGTGCTTGCTCAGTAGTTGCCACGATTTCAAATAGTTTAGACTGGAAACCTATAAAAATTAACGTAACAGACATTCATGGTTTAAATTTAATCGGTCGAAGATCAATTAAAGATTTCAAAATAAATATCAACAAGATGTTGAGAGACCAGGTAAACACAATTTCATGCCCAAACTTTTCAAAGTTGACAAACGATTGTGAAAAGCTATGTCTGGAATTCAAAGAGATTTTTGATCCTAGTCTCGGTTGTCTAAAGAATGTTGAATTGGACATCAAATTCCGAGAAAATACAACACCAGTTTTCAGACAACCACGAATTGTTCCTTTTTCAATACAAGACAAAGTAGATGACGACTACACGATTAAATACAGGAAGACTTCAGAAGACGGAAATGCAGATGTGTTACCATCGGGTGAAGATACAAAATTTGATGCTGCAGAGCAATTTCAACTCTATTTGAAAGAGAGGGGGATTCAGCACTTTACAGGCTCCCCATACCACCCGGCGACTAATGGTCAGGCAGAGAGGTTTGTTCAAACTTTCAAAAGGTCTATGGCAAAATCAACATTGCCGACCGAAGCTGCTTTACGGGAGGAGTTCCTCATGCAATACAGAAGAACTCCTTTTTCAACCGGTTTTTCACTAAGTCAATTACTGCATGGCAGGCAAATACGAACTAAAATTGATATTCTCCGACCAATTTTAAAAGGGAAAGAGAGGGAAGAGAACTACAATAAGGTGAAATGTTCGATTTCGATAGGTCAACCGTGTTATGTCAAGTACTATGGCCCAAGAAGAGATCGCCAAGCCAGATGGGTTTCTGCGATAGTTGTTCGAAGATTAGGTCAAAGACACATATTGGTAAAATCGATCCCACATGGTCTTCTATGGAAACGACACGTAGAGCAAATCCGTCCTAAATACGGTGCCAACCAAGATGGCGACCCAGAGGAAATCACTAGGACCCAGACCCAAGTTGTTTCAAGGCATTCAATCGTCAAACGTACCACGCCTGAAAGTAGTCAAGTGCTTTTCGACCCGATATCTCTCCCAAGAAGATCGGAACGTATACATCATAAGTTTGCCCACAAACTTTAGCTTGTTGGGAAGGTGTTATGTGCAGGGCACATCACTTTTTATTCTATTTGTTTTTGGGCAATAATTAATGTACAATGTGACTTTTACTGTGACATGCTTTTTAGTTTGTTCAATTCGTTTCAATTTGTTTGGTTATAGAACGTTATATTTATTTTACGTAATAAATTAGTATACGTACATTACGCTTATTGTTTTCTATTTAGTTTGCCTTTCAACTTTTCAAAACAGCAAAACACAACAAAACCTATGGAAAGGATGTCAAAAAGGCAGAGGAAAATTAATCAGCTGAAGAGCGAGCAGAAACGCCTGAAGAAATTATGGAAAATGTCAAATGGAGAAGAACGTGATAGTCTAGCTTAGTTGAGAGATGACATCAGAGTAAAACTGAGCCAGCTGCGTCGAGTGGAAAGGTTACGGTCAAAGAAATACCGACAAAGGAAAGCTAGGCTTTGGGAAACGGTTGTTTGAATAACCAAAATCCGGCGAATTGATTGTTTCAAGAATGGAACTAGAGGATCACCTTGCACAAACCTACACAACTACTGCTGGTGAACTGGAAGAAAATAACATGTTGAAGACTAAAAAGGAGTCCGGATACAAATTTAATCTAAGACCTCCCTCCCTTTGGGAAATTGAAACAATCATCGCAGTTAGAACGGTCACCTTTACGTTTGAAAATAACTCGGTATCTAACCCAAACAACATCTAAATGCTAACATTGCAATCTTGAACATCAACCTCTGTTCCACCGGAAACCAATGCAGACTTCGACAATAAAAAGTGATGTTCCCATCTACTAACACCAGTCACCAACATCACATCAGCATTCCGAATTAGCTGCAACCTGTACTACAACCCAGCGCCAGCTCAAACATCAAACTATTTCAATAATCAAATCTTGACATGATTAACGCGACTAACATAGTACAAAGGCAAGCATTTCTTTACCAATCTTCACATTTGATAGAATCATGTCTTTGTCTGCTGCAATACAAGGGCCATAAATGTTAATATACATACACATCAAGTCAACTAAATATTTGTGTTCAGACATGATTATTAGTTTAATATTAAAGAGGAAATATAAAATGTTATGTTAATAAATTTTATTTTTTTATCTAAGTTAATGAAACCTTGCTATTAACGCAAAATTTATTATTTCTGAGGAGTTACAAAATATACGGAAGGTCAGCTAATGTTATTATAAATTTAAAAAATACTAAAAAACTTTTTTAAATTGAAATTAGTGCACAATAAATGGAAATAAGTGTAATAATAAGTATATAAAAATAAATAAAAATAATTTGTATATGAGTGATGGTTGATTGTAGGATATATTTTGAATAAACACCATTTGAGTGTATTAATATTATAATAAACCAAAAAATATATAAATTTAACCACATTTCAAACCTGATAATATGAACATTTTTTATTCTCCCAGTCCAAATCATTAAATCAGCTTTGTCAAAAGTTTCGTTGAGTTCTCCATTGTTATAACTTTGCTCCTGATTCTTATCAAAATAATCTAATTCACCACTGAATATTATTCCGCTTTCGGATTCCAGCCAACTAATTTTACCACCGTTGACGTCAATAGTGATCTCACTAATGCACCCTTTTGCGTTCAGATGAGCCTCCGGCGATTCCAATGAGTTCAGACAGCTTTTACCCAACAGATCGCATGAAATCAGCTTGTTGTTAGTATGGTAGTGTAGATTAACATCGCATTGGGAGTAAAATAATCGTCTTTTTAAATGAAAATAACAAAAAACATCTTTTTAAATTTTAAAATGTACATGCAATTAATAAAACTTTAATTAGTTCAATAACATTTGATAAATGGATTAAATAATTAGTTGAAAAATCGTAACCTTCTTAATGGATCAACAACTAAAGATCGAAAGACAGTTTGAGATAAACTATTGTTAAGCGAAACTAGTTTAATTTTTTTCCGATAGTTGAAGCCACCAATCCATATTGATTTCTAAATAATTTCAGAAAAATTAAAAAATAATTTTTGCAATAAAGTGACAATAGTTTAACAACAGAATTCAACATGTTATTATCCTTATTATTATCAACAAATCGGGTTGACTTTTGGTGTTTGAAGGCGATGCGTCTCCTAGCTTGTCCCATGAAATATTTACTACATTAATAATAATAATAACTTTTTTATATTAATAATATTATTAAAATTATTTATTACGCCATAAAAAAGGACTGAGGCGCCATTAACATCAATGTTAATGTTATTATGCATTATAATGTGAGACCGTAGTTAAAAAAATTTAATGCTTGTGTGGAAGACTGAGTTTGAATGCTACCAATGTTTGAAAATATGTACCTGACTTTGTATCCAGTAGATATTTCTGTTAAGGTAGTCTACAGAAATGCTGCTGCATTCTTTTAAATGATCAAATATCGTGTTTTTGTGTCTGTTAATTGGTTAAAGACACGACATTGTTATGACTTCGCTGACTTTGTAGAACAATTTATTTTGGCAAATTGAATTTAAATTTTATATCGCGTAGTGTTTTTGTTTTGCTAGTTAAATTTGAAATAACGACCAGCATTAATACATTTAAACATTATACATAGCTTAAAAGTTACAGTTTTCGCAATTAAAAATAAAGTTGACGATTAATCAGAAAATATCAGTTGACATGCACAAACATCGTCCGGTGCTACTTCTCGTGGTTGAAGCGTTATTTTCAAATATACGTAAATTAAAATTTAAAAAAATTATAGCTCGTTAAAATTGGCAATAATAAATTTTTAATAAATAATGCAAAATGATACGGAAATAATAGTTGTGGCAATATCACCTACTTTGTTAATGTTTCAAGGTGAATAAGCCCAATGACATCATTTCCTTCATTTTCGCTATCATCACTGTAATCGCCTTCAAAATTGCTCTGTTCAACTTTCTCATTTTTAGAAAAATTGTTTTCATTAAAATAAGAGATCGAGTTGCGAGTCCTGTTGTTATCATATGATTTTTCGTTTATTAGACGATCAGAAAAAAAAATAGAAAATGTAATTGGGTCATATGACAATGAAGTCAACCAGTCAAACTGGATATTTTCAATTTTATCAAAAATTTCGTATTCTGCATCAACTATCATGCGATTCAAGAAGTAGTTGTCCGCCAAGTACATGATCGGAACTTGAAGGTCTACAAAAATTGTTTGTTTATTATGTTTGCTTCATTTCAATATTTATTTAAGAAATATCGCAAAATATATTTAACGATACAATTAAATATAAAGCTTAATAAGTTTAATTGAAATTCATATATAACAATACTGTTGGATATAAAACTTAATATTTTATTTATTATTACATTATCATGATGTGCACATGTTGGCGTTAAACTCTAAGCGTTGTATATATGGCATTATTCTATGTAATTCATTTTTTTATAAAACACTCACACATACATTAAAATTTTTATGCAAACATTCAATAATATCTAAAACTAATGGAGCAATAAAAACAATGACCTGCGCATTTTTTCCCATCAGGCAGAAGATATCTGCCAAATCTGCACGTGCATTTGATTTTATTTTGATTGACACGCTCGCACAAATCACCGCAGATGGCTTTTGGTTGATCGTTCTCGTGTCGGAAGCAGGGGTCTATACAAATGAAGATTTGATAAAATATCAATATTAACATTATATTATTATTTATAAAAAGAACATCTCTGAAAAAACTCAAAGATTTGCTACATGTTAACAGCAACTTAAATACAACACCACGATGGAAACTCTAAATTCTAAGACGAGTAATTCCTTCTCAACTATCCTAACCCTAAAACAGACAGAAAACAACCTTAACTGACTGATTGAAAAGGCTGTGCGAGATTGGCTGTCTGTAGTTGTGGTATTTGTGCTACCAAAGTTCTCCCGATGCGTATAAATGTAGAGGCCTCAACATCAAACAATTTAAAACATGGATGGTGAGAATAAAGCTTCGCCGTTATTTAAAACTAAACACTAACGGTTAAGCTTGCCTGGTGCTTGTTTCGCAGTTCGTGCAGTGACCGAGTTCGAATATTACAATATAATCCCGCCTATCACTTGGTTCGTGTGTGATGCGTCGTTTAGCATCTATTTATATACGATGTTTGGGTGTTGTTAAAAAAGTTAAAGATCTATTACACTCTTTCTAAATACAAAGGAATCAGCAACACGGACAAACATCCTATACGAATACATACTAAACGACGCATCAACAAAGCATATAATAGGCGGGGATAATGGTAATATTGTCAAGGCAATATCGGAATCATACATTGACAAAATCGAATCGAAAACAACACCCAAATTGCTAGATGAACAAAAAAATTTGATCTTCTGGCCATCTGTGGTGATTGAATTAAACTAACATTAATAATTGTTGCCATGTCTCTTGGCGAAAACTACGTTTTTTTCTGGTTGAGTTTGCGTTTTAAAATATAAAAACAATTGTAAATTTTATATATATACAAATGATAAAACTATGTTGAAGAAAGATGTTTGGAAGGCTGTGCTTATTAAAAAAAAGTGTTCTATTCAGTGTTGAAAAAACAACTATTGGAAGAATTAGGTTGAAGGTAATAAAGGACAACCTAAAAAATTATGGAGTGTTGTAAACAAAGTACTCTGTAGAGTATCTTCGTTGAATTCACCGAGATCATTCTGTCAACATAGTCCTACTATAATAAATAACATAGCGCAATTTGATCATTCCGGCGGTTATAACAATATTTAATAATACTGCTGGAATTTATTTTGTATTTTACCTTTTATGCACAGATAGCCATACCGAAGCACATGTCCAGAGGGGCACAAACAACGACGGTTACCATTTTTTGAAGTCACGCATACGTCACTACATAAAGGTTTTTTTGATGTACATATGCTGTAATGGGCTGTTAAATGTTTGTAAGAATCAAATTAGTGTAGAAAACAATTATAAAGCTTTTTACACTATTAAATATAACTATTTTTTACTACCTTTGTTATGAATATTCTTATCAGCGGCAACTAAAGCGACATAATGAACGTCGTTTTCTAGTTGAATATCTTCGACAGCTTCAGAAAATGCGTTGTCTGATTTCATGTGAGCATAATGATTATCTTGGTCTATCCAGATCAATTTATTGTTCATATAAACAACACTTTTAGGATGATTACTACACCTAATAATGATAGATTAATATTTACACATAACAGAATTATTTTGGTCTTTTAATATATATATATATATATATATATATATATATATATATAGATGGATGGATGGATGGATGGATGGATAGATAGATAGATACATAGGTGCATAATTTAAGAACATGGTATGTTAAAGGTTAGGCTAGGCATACATGACACATAATTACAACATCACTAATTGTGAGGTGAGCTGGACAATTTTCTTTGTGCTATGGGTTATGCATAAATTATAAGCTGATCTTTGTGTAAAAGAACTTGTGCACGTGCATACATGACACATAATAACAACATCACTAATTGTGAGGTGAGCTGGACAATTTTCTTTATGCTATAACATGGGTTATGCATAAATTATAAACTGACCTTTGCGTACATATATTACTATAGATTATTTAAAAAAAATTTTCTCTGTGTTAATTTTTAAATTTTACTCTTCTTTCTTCCCAGTTTTGTTAATTTTACACATTTCCCATTTTACACATTACCTATTTTTACACATTACCCATTTCTACACATAAAATACGTTCTTGACAGGTATCGAACTAAATACATAAGAAATTAATGTAAATCATGTTTATGTTATGTTTATGCACATATCATATGGGCATTCTTCTACATTTCAATTTTTAAAATCGTTGATTAAAATTTTCTAACACAGCAATAAGGCAGAAACTTGTTTATACCATTTCTTATTTATTGCGCTGTTTAATTTTTAATTATAAAACAAATTTTGAAATGTGTAAGCCAACACAAGAATTTATTCAAATTTTTCATACTCAAAGAATAAAATATCAACTTGTAAAAAATATCAGTGTACATTAATTTAAAAAATTTAGCAGAACACTTTTTATGGTTTAACTTATGGAAGCATACAAAATAACTAACTTAATGGTATGAATATTTTTCAATCTTCCCGTCCAAATTTTTTGCTCGTTAATATCAAACTGGCTATTTTCTTCAATATCATTGTTAAGTTGAAAATCGTAACTGTTGACACTACTGTCTAATTCTCCAGTAAAAATGTTTCCATTTCCAGCATCTATCCAGCTTATTTTAGCATCCTTGACATCTACTGTGATGGCACTAGCACACCCCATTGCATTCAATTCTGCTGTTTCTTGCGTTTCCAAAGAGTTTAGACAATGCATGGCGGATAAATCGCATGAGATCAGCTTGTTGTTGCCATTGTACAAATTCACATCGCATTGTGAGTAAAAAAATCTCCTGTTCAATCACAATACTCAATGTTAAGTAATAATTATTTGGATACTAATATGATAGTTTGATACCAATAACCTTAAAAATGAATTTACAGTTTATAATAGAAACCATTTCTAATTGGTACACTTTTATAAATAATGGCCTCTAAAAATTAAAATGTTCAAATATAACAATTTATTTTTCAACCTTCTAACTGAATCAACAAATAAGGACCGAATAGCTAAATTGTTGCTCTTTTCAACGCCTTCAACTTCACTACTGTTCAAAGCAAGAAGTCTAATTTTTTTTTTATAGTTTAAACTACCAACCCAGATAGATTCCTAAAATAAAAATCAAAGCTTGAAAATTATCCATTAAATTGTTATAATATTTAATAAAGATATTCAATAATAACAAAACCTGATTTTGTATCCAATATATATTTCTGTTGATATAATCCAATGAGATACTGCTGAACTGTTCTAAACTCTTGAATATTGTCGTCTTGTGTCTGAATGAATTATTTAGAATGGACAACTACTAAGTTGAGTTTACAAAAATTATGTCGTCAACAGAGACATGTATGATTAAAAAACATACAACGCTTTTCTGAAGAAACGCATCAGAGAAATCAAGTAGAAACAATCAAGTAGAAATCAAGAAGAAAAAGAGCAAGTAGAAACGATTATATAATAAATATATTTATAAATATATTGTAATGATATATAAAATCTATGTAATAAAAAACTGAGTATGCGTGTATGTCTTTGTTGGCCCTAAAATCATTCTGTTAGACATCATAAACAGGCCCTATTTCACGGTCTGCCAGAAACCCTGTTAGTCTTTTATAACTTTATTGTGCTAGACATGACAATTTTCTAAAATCTCCAGTTGAAACGACATGTGCATTAAGTTAAATATAGTGCTTTTTTCTTGTTCATATTTTAAAAAAGTTGTTGACAAAAACATTTTTATGAAATATAAAAAAAAATAACTTAAATTTCAACACAATTTTTGCATTTGTTACATGAAAATAAACGTTCTGTAAATTTTTGAAATTTATTTATTTTTTTTTCGCCGAGATCATTATACAAATGTCCCAACAAAAGAAACTTAGTGAAAAATTTTGGTGATCAATAAATTGAAAAACAAAATGCTCCATTACACTACACAGCAAAAATACAACAATCGTAGTTTCAGCCAGTAGTGTTTCGACGTACTTTAATTAATGTGGGAGAATATTGATTATCTACATTGCAATAACTTGTAGCTGATTAAAATTATTAAAGTGCTTTAAAATTATTTTTTAACGCTATAATAGCAATGTTATTGATTGGGCGGCGTGACGGCGTAATGGTTAAAGGCGCCTGGTCATGTTGTTGCAATGACAGGGTTCAAATACGAAGAGATCCCAGCCTATTGTATGCAATGTGTATGATGCGTGGTTTTCACGCGTGATCATGTGTGTTTGTCGTTGATACCTCTGAAGAGATCGACCTTTAACTTTTTTAAGAACATCAATCAATATTATTTTACTTGGTCAGTGTTTCAAGATGAATAAGTCCAATAGTATCATAATCGTCCTTTTCCTTGTAATAACTGATCTCATTGTTAGCACTGTACATTGGATCTTCTGATTTTTTCAAATTAAAAGTTTATAAAAATCATATTATGTCAAATCATTTTATTACCGTTATAAGTTTTTGTGGTCATCCGTTCAGAGAAATAAAGGGAATTTGTTATTGGATCAAATGACAACGAAGTTAAGCCATTAAATTTCAAGTTTAACACTTTTTTATATCCCTCAAAATTATTTAAAAGGTAGATAAGTGTTGTATTATTTGCTACATATATCGATGGTGTTTGAATATCATCTGCAAAATTAATTATTTACTTTCATAATTGATGATAATTGTAAAAATATAAACCATACAATGTTCTTTTTGTTAATAAGTGTTTTAAAAAACATTAGTTCGGAGGAGATAATGAAGAGCGCAATATCCATTCAACTCGTGACAAGCGCTGTACAAATTCAGCAAAACAATAAAATAATTTTCAGATAGATAAAACTTGCTAATCAGTGCCGGCTCTAGGCACAGGCAAGAGAGGCAGCTGCCTAGGAGCGGCACTTTTCTAGCCTCCTCGGTACCACCAAGAAATTAACGTAATTTAATTATTTTTTCGATCAATATGGCAGACATATGATCTAATTAGTACCTCTGTGAAGTTTGAACATGATCAGACAACTGATATACTGTGCTGGAGAAATCTTTGATGCTCTTTTTGAAATCAGCCGAGACATTTTTTATAATCCATCTTCACGTTATGAAGCAGAGGCATTAACTCAAAACATGAAAAACTTTAAAATTTGTTGCTGTACTGTGATATGGTTCAGAATTTTGAACCAAATAAACTTAGCTAGCAAAGTTATTCAGAATATTGAAATTGACATTTCTGAAGCCAAACAAATTTTGAACAAAACCTTCTTAAAGTTATATTGCTTTTGAAAAAGTTATTTCTGATGTAAAATTAATTGCAGCTAAATAAGATTTGGAGCCATCATTTGCATTTAAAGTTTTTATTAGACAAAGGTTTAAAAAACAAATGTTTTCATATGAAACTCGAGATTATCCCATTATAAATCCAAAAGATAGATTTAAAATATGTTTTAATTGCATTTTGGATAGTGCTATAAACTCGATTGAAGAAAGATTTAACCAGTTAAATGAACACTGTGATGCTTTTCAATTCCTGTACAATATTGCAAATATTAAAAATGAATTTTCGAAGGAAAGTCTTAAAGAAAAATGTTTAAATCTTCAAGAAATTTTAAGCACATATACTTTTGATGGCATGGAATTATTAGAAAAATCGCTTGCATTGTCTGAATTAATTGAATCAAAAACGTCACTATTTAAAGTACTAGAGCTTATTTTAAAAAACAATAATTTCATCCCAAATGTTTCAATTGCTTTACAAATTCTGCTAACACAAACAGTATCAGTTACATCAGGAGAGCGTAGTTTTTCAAAACTGAAATTAATTAAAGATTACTTAAGATACACTATGTCACAAAATCGTTTGACATGTCTTTCTTTAAATTCCATAGAAAGTGATATGGCTAAAAAAAAATTTTATTGAATTGCTTTTTATGTTAGTACTGTTTGGATTTAATATTTTGCAAATAATCGATTTTGTACGTAACTCTTAGTTTTACTATAAAGCATTTTTTTATATATTGGCGCATTTTAGTTAGGGTGGCAAACTAGGATCTTGCCTTGGGTGGCAAAATACCTTGAACCGGCACTGTTGCCAACAACTGATCTATTTCGATAACAAAAAAAACTTCACAATGACGTATGACTAGCAAAATTCTGCCCGCCAAGTTGAACAACTTTTTATATTTTCCCGCAAACTCTATCAAGTAGATTCTGCATATCTAGAAAACTTACAGCTTCTTTTTTGTTTTTAAACGTTTCATCATGATTGCAGCATAAAATGTTACAGAACTGAGACGTAAATATCATTCTTTTTATTTTCAGTTTAAAAAGTTATATTAATTTATAATTTTTTAAACATTTTGTTAATATTTAAATATTTGTTAGTAGTCCATATTAGCTTTGCAATAAAAAATCTCATTTAAATAAAATAACAAAAAATAATTAAATTGTATTAAAGTTTACTTTTCATAGTTCAATATACAAATTTCAAAGTATTAGAAAAGCAAACTATAATTTATATATAAACAAAAAAATAGCCCCTAAAATTCATTTGCATTATTTGAGTTTGTTTTCGAAACTGGAAACTTAACTGCACACGAAACAAATATTAAATTTACGTCTTATACAGGTTTGAAAAAAAAATTAATTTTTGACCTGCGCACGTTTTTCCATCAGCCAGCAGGTTTCTGCCAGGCCTGCACAAACATTGGAAATGTTTCTTATTAATAGGACGACAAATGTCACTGCAAATAATGTTCCAAAAACCATTTTTGCGGTAGAAACATGGAGCACGATCTGTGTTTGAGGAAAAAATTAGTCAGCCCAATTGCTAAACTATTTTTTAGTTGTTAATCAGAAAGTAAACACAACAAAAAAAATAATTTTCACCCATAAGTTTCACCAGCCATCAGCAATTATATATTTATTATCGCGGAATAATAATAAATATAAGCAGAAGTTAATGATGGTAAAAATTATATACTTTATGAACCTTTAGTACACAAGTATCCATATTGCAAAACATATCCTTCAGGACATAAACAACGTCGTTCGCCTTTATAGGATGTTACGCAAACGTCACTGCAAAACGGTTTTATTGAAGAGCAGAGGCTGTTATGGGCTTTCATAAAATTAAATAAAAAAAATTATTTTTTATAATATAACATTTTATCAATTTTTTTTGAAATATAATAAATTTATTTGTAGTGTAATAAACATTTATAATGAAGATACATTGACGAACAAAAAATTTTACATTTAAAAAGTTAATATCATTTTACTTTTCTTATAAATGTCTTTATCAGCTGTTACCATAGAAACGTATTTAACGTTATCATTTATTAGAATGGTTTTGACGAAATCATCAGATGTGGAATCTTCAGAGGCAACGTGCAGACGATTCTGATCAATCCATATCAGACGGTCACGAAGATAGGTGAAACCAAGAAGATGTGGAGATTGTCTGCAAAATTATGTTAGGAAATATTATATTTAATATTGGGTCACAAAATTTTTGTTTGTGTTGATTTCTTTATAGAAAAAAAAACAATCTTAACTCTAAACCTACCTCAGTTTGTATAAAAAAATCCGCTTGAAAATATGCTTGTAACATTTTTATAGTATTATAATAAGCAAGTTGAACATTATCTCTATTCCTATTGTGACATTTTTCAATATATTGCCTTATAAAATTTTTACGTGTTAAAACTAGACGGCCGCATGAATGCTCTCAAAAACACAATTAAATACAAGTTACGTGTTACTAGTGTATGAATTTTATTGCTCACTGGCAAACTATACAAACAATTCATTTCATTTTATTGTACACGTATTTTATTCTAAATTTAATTTAAATTCAATTTTGATGTTTTCAATAAAAATTTAAACTTGTTCTCTGAATTTTTCATTAATTTTACAAAATTAGTTTAGATTCTACATTTTTTAAAACCTATGTGCACTGCACAGTAACGGCTTAACGCTATTTACTTTTTGCTTGTTGGAAGAGCTATCAACATGATAACGATAACAATATATAACATGGTCTTCATCAATATCTAACTTCGAATAGATAGTCTTTTTGCAGTTAATATCAGATTCGGTCAGGAACTGATTTAGCACGGGCAAAACAGGCACGGCATTGGGTAGTTGATTTTTAAAGCTTAACACCGTTTTAAAAATCTTTAACATTTAAAACCGTAGCGCATTAATTACAAGAACCAAAATATCATGCCAAAATACACCTTGATTCTTTCACCAAAAATTTGTTTGCATAGTTTTGACTTTTGATGTAACACTTTTTTATTATTAGGACATTAAATACATAACGTATATGTGACCCCATTATGCCAATGATTACATATGATACAAAAATATATATACAGATTTCGGTTAAATGTGAAATTTATTAAAATTTTAACTAAAATGGGGAAACAGGAATTTAAATTGCCTGTTGGTAACATAAAAGTTAATCCAATAACAAAATTCAGCATAAATAATCAACTAACTTAATAACGTGAACGTTTTTGATACTTTCGGTTGAAAATTTGTCATCATCAAGAGTACTTTCATACTCGCTGTCATTTGTATTAGTATAGTCATGGCTTTTAACATCATCATTAGGAACTTCCAACCGCCCACTGAAAATTGTGCTTTTAGCAGTTTGCATCCAACTTATTTTTCCATTCTCAATTGTGATACCATCGATGCACCCTCTTTTGTTTAAATATATATCTGTTAGTTCCAGTAAATTATGACAAAACTGGCCTGACAAATCACAAGAGAATAACTTGTTGGTTGTGCGAGAGAAAGAATCAGTATCACATTGAGAATAATATAATCGCCTGCGTCGATCAAGTTAGTTTTCATACATTAATCAAAAAGTAGAATTTGGACAAAAATTTAAAACATTTACAGAATAACATTAGATATATTTTATTTAATAAATAAGGAGTTTACTAACACCAAACATGCTGTAATTTTCTGACAGACTTAATCATATACACATATTATTATTATTATTATTATTACGGAAATTTATATACAGCGCTTTTTAATTGTTGAAACTCAAAAGCGCTACTGAATCATAGACAAATAAGACGGACGTTCATTGTGCAAATAAATAAGTTTTAAGCTGACTTCGAAATTGTAAATATGGTAGGTTAGGGTCAAGTAAGTAAGGAGGTAAACCACTTCAAACAACCGAGCCAAGAACCGCAACTTTGTAGTCGGAATAAAAAATAAAATGCGCTCGGTTGATCGGAAGGAATATTTTGAAAAATGAGATTTGTATGATTCCAATCTATCAATGAGAGGGAGGTGCTGCATTATTGACACATTTAAACATCAAAACTGGTAACTTGAAGAAAACACGTTTCTCAACCCTCAACCAGTGCAACTTATTCAAAATAGGCGTAACATGATCGAACAACGAACCACCCAAAACCATCTTGGCAGCACGATTCTGTATTGACTGAAGCTTTGAAAAAGACCTTTTGGTGACACCATAAATAAACCATTGCAATAGTCCAGTCTGGAGAAAACGAAAGAGGAGTCAAACTTTGAAAAACAGACGTGTTTAATGATTTTTTGACATTGCGTAATAAACGCAGTTGGTTTTAGCAGACCCTCACTAAATTATTAATATGTAAATCCATCTTTAGGTTTGAGTCAATTACAACTCCAAGACTACGGACAGATGTGGAAAATTCAATGATGTCATTGCCAATACAGATTGACAAAATTTTGACCAGATCAAGAGAACAAGAACTGCTTTGGGAGTCACAAATTATTTTACACAATTCTTCTGGAGTGCACATTTGAAATTTTCTTCATTTTCCTATACAAACGTTCTTGTTTTCGACAAATGCGTTTTAATGAACGACATTCAAAGTCAAACCAAGGGGCGGATGACACATGAGTAGATTTGACATAACGACAAGGAGCAACAATATCCACAATCCTCACAATTTCAAAATTAAACAAATCCAACAGGGTATCAGCGGAAAATGAATTGAACGGCCCTGAAATAGATGAATCGATAACTTTCAACTAAATAATACCAATATTCTTCCAACAAAGAAACACATGAGTAACTTTAATTCTAATTAAGTTACAATCAAAGTCGCTGTAAAAACAAAGACACAAAGACGGAGCATTACTTTATAACTACACTGATGATGGCAGTTGATGCCGAAAAGAGCTTTTCTGTAGTAATAACGTTATTAATAATGTTTTGTCAAAAATGTCAAATATTAAAAGTTTTTTTTATATAACCTTAATAAACTTCATCAAGATGGTAAAAGTCTCGTTAGAAAAATTGAGAAACTCAACTACAAGTTGAATAACGCCGAAAACGCAGTGATCTTTATGAATAATTATATATATATATATATATATATATATATATTATTGGTAAACCATTATCCGCCATAGGCCAGACGTACGTTTCGTCTCTCACGAGACTCGTCAGTAGCCTGCCGAATAAGGCTTAAGATAACATATATATAGTATATGTATATGTATATATTTCAACTTCTGGATATTTTGGTAACGAATGACAAACAAAGATTTACAACTGCCGTATACGACAAAGCAACAAGTAAATGTATTTGTTTAAATGGGCTAAGTAAAAAACGCAACAATTCAAAGTGAGTACAATAAAATCCTTTGTGAACCGTGCGTTAACGCATTCCTCCGCAATACGGAACTGAAAAGAATTACTAATCTACAAAACATCACCTATTGAGAGCAATGTTCAATAAAATCTGCAACAAGATAGCAATATATTTAAAAACGACGATGACAACAACATAATCCTATATTACAGAAATCATATGTCAACGGCACAAAATATAGACGAAGTCATCCTCAAACAAATCATAAAAAAAATGTTACACCAATCAATGATATTAATAAAATAAAACTCAGGATATACTACAATGATTGTAAGACATCACAATTGGTCTTAAAGAACAGCTGCACTTTTAAAAACGATTTCACTTTCAAGCGTAATCTCATGTAATATATGAATTTAAATGCCAATTGACGACCGTGCGCGTCAGCAACATTCGTATATTGGTGTTACGACCACTTCACTATCAAAACGTCTCACAATGCTACACAAAGAGGAGCCATCAAATCTCACTTACAATCAACTCCAATAACCCGCCAAATTTTGACAACAACACAAAAATAATTTATCAAAACACCAACACAATACATCTAAAAATTGCATAAGCTGTGCTAATAGCAGTGATGGGTAGTTACTAACTACAAATAGTTAAAAAGTAGTTAGCTAGTAGTTAAAAGTAGTTAATAACTGTTTTATTCTGAATAGTTATTAACTATTAGTTAACTATTTTGAATAGTTAGTAACTATTATAGCTAACTATTTTTTAACTACTTGAACATATTTTTTCTCTGAATTAATGTTTATCTTTTTAATTGCACATCCCTATTTTCAAATTTGTTTTTTAGTTTCCGCGTCAACGCCATTTCTTTTCAAGCTTTTTTTGTGTACGAGATGCAGATAATTTGCGTTTGAATAATTATTTAATATGAATACTAAAATTATTAAATTGTGCTTTATTGACGCCGTTTTAAAAAAAGACGACAATAAAAATTTTACTGCAAATTTTGTAAAAGCATTTTTTCAGGTAGCATTTGAAATACTACAGAAGGTGACAGTGACATAGAAGATATTTACAAAAATGACATATTATTAAAAACAAATATTATTTATTTAATGGAGATAGAACAAATTGATGCTGATGATTCTGATAATGTTCTTTTTTTACCCCCGCACAAACGATGTAGTAATCACAATTTGAATCTTGTAGCAAGTGTAAATGCTTTGAAAGCAAGAGAAAATCAGCATTACAAAAGACTGTACGATAGAACCATAGCAAAGGTGACATCACCGTCAAACTCTGTACATCAAAGTACTAAAAGTGGTGATATTGTACAAGATATTACGGGTTCTACATTAATTAAACCAAATTTTACAAGATGGTGTTCAAAATTTTATGAAATAGTTAATAAATATTTTTCTTGAAAGTAGTTAAAAAGTAGTTGAAAATTATGTTTTTGGTCTCTAGTTAACTATAGTAGTTTGCTACTATTTTGGAGTAGTTAACCCATCACTGCCTAATAGATATTAATAAACCCCAAATAAACATTCAAAAAAAAGTGATAACTTCATTACTGACCCGACGCCTTAATACTAACTTCAATAACAATGAAGAACAAAGGAATGACAACAACAATTATGAAGAATACAATACCAACTAATAAACGTTACTAAAGATTTTTGCTTTGTTTAAAGAAACTATATAAACCTGCCCTGAAGATGATTTATGAAAAAACGAAATAAGGCCTTATCTGCATTTGAATTCGAATAACAACGTTTCATAAATTTTCCTGATGAACTTAGATAATTCTATTTTCAGCAAATTGAACAATTTTCAGAAAATTCTAGCAAGGAAAATTGAAAAGACAAACTGTAAATTGATTAATGCCAACAATTCGGTAGAATTCATACAATACTGTGTAGAATATGGTCTTCTTATATATTATATATATATACCAAAAAGTTAAATTGGAAACTAACGCCGAACATTCTGTGATTTTCATCAATATATATATATATATAAATATATATATTTGTATATATATATGCTGGTAAAAGACCATAATTAGTGCAGTAATTTATGAAGCCTACCGAATTTCTAACTTTGGATAGTTTTTTAAAACATTTTTCACTATTTCTAACCAAGTTCTCGTTGTCATTATTTATTTTATTCAAAGTAGAATAATATACAGTTTTCAGAATGAATTGGAAAACTGTGTATCATTCTAACTTTAATAAAATAAATAATGACGACAAGAACTTGGTTAGATAAATTGAGAAATGTAATAAAAAACTATCCGATGCTAGGAAATCAGTAGATTTCATAAATTACTGTATATATATATATATATATATTAAATATAGTATATTGTATGTGTGTGTGGCTGGGTTGGTGGATGGGTTGGTGTATGTGTGTTGTTCGGGCGAATCATCATTCAGGCGAAAGCTTTCGTATTTACCAACCTTTGCTTACGTTTGTTCATTTGGTTTACACAAACACACTCACCGAAAACGTTTCACCCGCTAAATGGAACGTTTGCCCGACAAATGGAACGTTCGCTCGCTAAATGAAACGTTCGCCTGCAAAATGGAACGTTTCGCCCGATAAATGGAACGTTCGCCCGACAAATGGGACGTTCGCCCGATAAATGGAACGTTCGCTCGATGAATGGAACGTTTGCCCAATATATTTTTTGCTCGAAAAAATGTCGCCTGATTTGTTTTCTGCCAGAATTTTGGAATTTGGTTATATTAATTTTAGAAAGATTTATTATAGTGGTATAACGGTAATATCGTTATTTTCTAATAATTTCTAAAACACGATGGCATTGCTGTGTTTAGTATTGACGGCTGAAAAGTCATTATTCCATTGCAATCATCACTACTATCATTCCACCACTCACCACATGCACATTATCACAAATTCATACAATTCACCACAAGACACATTTAAAATCTACAAAGACAATAACCATTAAAATTTATTAGCAAATTCAACACACAATCTCACTTAAAGGGTATGACACAAATTCTTGATTTGGGGTTTTCAGGAATAAAAATGAAAAAATAATTTTGAAATATCTATTGAGGACGTGTATTATATTATTTACATGTATGTCTGATTAAGTACATATAAAATAATTAAATTTTGTTGAATTTTTAACAAAATATCACGATATTAAATAATGATAATAATAATAATAAATATTAGTAATTATAATACTTTCATTTTATATATCGCTATGACAAAAAGCTGAGGAGTATTATTATTATTACGACCAGCTCAGAGTGTATAACTCTTAACATTGGAACCCGGTCAGTGTATCAACAACGCCAGGCCCCTAGACCAATACATCACAGCGCCTCCCTTAATTTTCTGCATTTAAACACTTTCAATAACAAAATGTTTTAATTTAGCATATTTCCTACATTTGATTAACGATCAAATATCTATAAAAAAAACCTTTTTAGAGAATCAATAGCGAGAGAATTGATGACTGAAAATGCTCTAGTTGCTGCAGTTTGAACATTGTCTAATGGTACCAGTTTGATTTTTGTTTTATATCTAAGACTGCCAACCCAAAGGGAATTCTTTTTTATTCAAATTAACAAAATTAATTTTAAAAATTGCATTTTGTGTAACCTGTTTAACGTATTTTGAAAAATATCCGAATAAAAATGGCATTATCAATTTATTTAAAATTTTTTTTGAATATTCACTTAACAGTCAAAAGTGATTAAATTATAAATGCAATTATAAAAAAAACTTGATCTTGTATCCAGTAAATGTTTCTGTTAATGAAATCTATTGAAATTTTAGAGCAATCCTTCAAGTTATCAAAAACTGTTGTTTGATGCCTGTGAAAATAATTTTAAAATTGTTTCCAAAACGTTGAAAGTTTGTTGTAATACCTATAAAATTTGAAATCTTTAGCTTTATGTTCTGTATCGAATTGTTTGTGTATGAACTTGATTTGAATAATTAAATGAAATTGTGTATGAAAAAAAAATCGAAAACTTAGGTTGACTTCAATTATGACAGAAATAAATCCGTTTAAATTTTGTACGCAGCTGAAGAGTAAATAAAATATAATTGAAAAAAATAATCACGAGTATAAAACTTTTTAACAAAGTGCAATTAGTGTAAATTTGATTTGCAGAAGTTTAAATTAACATCGACAAAGAAAGCATTAGCGTCAATATGTAATCACCTGCATTCACAAAATATTTTTCCCTTGTATAATATAATATATACTTCTTTTGTTTCCAGGTAATGCTCATAACAAGGAGAAAAAAGAACATTTTCAGATAAAAAGTTTATAGTAGAACTTCATATCATGGTATCTAGTAATTTTCTAACTTAGTATCATTTTGTATTGTGCTAATTTTGTGATTTTCAAGTGCATTTTTATAAATGTTAATGTTGTAATTATTCAAATCAATCAACAAATGCTCCAGAAGGTAACATTACTTTATTGATGTTTCAAGATGTATCAATCCAATCTCATAATTTGCTTCTTTGTATACAGAACTATCATAGTTGTCATCGTTGTTATAGGGTTTGAAATTATAACGGTCAATAACATTAGAAGAATCATTTGGACCATTTGAAATTTTATTTTGAGCGCGATCAGAAAAAAAAATAGAAAACGTGATTGGATCAAACGTCATAGATGTCAACTCATTGAACTGTATGTTCTCAATTTTTTCGCATTTTTCCAATTCATTATCAACTGAAACCCGGATCAGAGCTTGACTGCTTCCTAAATATACTGACGGACTGTAAAAATCACCTACAAAGATAAAATAACAAATTTGAATTACAAAAATTTAGTAAACTAGAAAAAATTTAATTTCAAATGGTAGTAGAGTAGCAGTCACATAGCCTGTGTAGACCTAAAATGTCTTTAAAATCGAATGACCTTTCATTCCAAATAACACTTTATTACTATCAATAAAATTGTTAGAACATTTTCAAAGTTTGATAACATTTCAAAAAAGCAAATTAATAATAATTCGTAATATTTCAAATAAAACTTTTTAGTTATGGTACATTAATTCTCTTGTTTGGCGTTACTTTTATGAAATAAATAATATTTTTCCTACCCGATTCAAAGAAAAACGTTTATACTCAACACAAATGCCAAGTAACAGTGGAATTCGAGCTGTCCTGTCGCAAAACATTGATCGAGATGAAAAAGTGCTGGCATGTTATAGAAAGAAATTTTCAAAGCCGGAGCGCTACTACTTTGTGTCAAGAACGGAGCTGCTGGGCATAGTATGTGCATTTGTCCTTCATACAAATTATGCGGCCCTAAAATAGCTGCTTAACTTCACGGAACTGGAAGGACAGGTAGCCCGTTGGCTAGAGAGACTACAGACATACCAATTTGAGGTCCAGCACTGAAAAGGATGCATCCATAACAACGCCGATGCATTATCAGGTCGATCATGCCCACCGAACTGCAAATAGCCGACTCCCGGCCAACCCAGCCGTCCTTCTTTACAAGGTCAGTGAATGGGGAGACGACGTAAGTTGTCGAATGTTGGCCGGCGAGATGGCTCAGTGGTTCAAATGCGCACTGAGTAAAACATCTCAATGGCTATCATATACTCAGCGTATAGGATGTGGTTCTTGCGCGTGCAAAAAATACATGTGTACGTCGTGTGAAAAGGATAAACAGCCTTTGTGGCAAAGATGGCTACTTTAAATCAATGAATAAAGATATAAAGAACATAATAAAATGTCTGAGCTGCAATAACTAATAAAGACTAAATAAAGACTAACAAAGACTAAATAATTTTCTTGACGACGGACAGGGGATGAAGGCTTACAATGCGTCATCAGGTCGAAGAAAGCCAGCCAGAGACATTGTTGGCAAAACATCCCAGAACACGGTCCCTTGTCAAAATTTTACTAGGCCCGGTGGGACTCACTACACATAGAGAACTTGCCCTTTAAGCGTAGATGGGAATTCACAGACGGATCCAACCACATTATGCAGTGATACCCAGATACAATACAACTGATATTCTCAAGAAAATGCATGGATGACCATCTGGAGGTCACCTGGAAGTCAACAAAATCCTAGATCGGATTCGAAAAAAGATTTATTTGGTTCGCGCCCGTGAAGACGTAGAAAACTGGTGCCGGAATTGCACTACGAGTTTGGCAGTAAAAGGGCTTAGAAGAAAACTGCGTAGACCAATGCAGGCTTACAATGTCGGAGCTTCTTTTGAAAAGATTGCTGTAGACATTGCGGTACCGTAGCCTGAATCAAAAATTAGAAATCGGTACATCTCTGTTGTCATTATTTCAGCAAATGGCCGAAAGTGTATCCGATACCCAACTAAGAAGCTTACACGGTTACAGATAAAATTGTTACAAATTAGATAAGTCGTTATGGTTTTTTATGTAAATGACGTTAAAGAAGCCATTTCAACACTCTGGAAAAATTTGGATGAAAACTTGATAAAAAAACTTATTTACAAAATAAAATAAAATAAATAATAAAAGAAATAGTTCTGTGACAAAATATTTACAACTATATTTAACATGTTAACTAAGTTTTCACTAAATGTTAAAAAAGTTTAGACCCAAAAATATTAATAACTTTTTTATTGTAGTTCAACCAAGGGTATCTTAACCTTTTTACAACGCTAAGAATCACTTTTTCTAAATATTTTTGGATAAATAATTTTTAATGAAATAAAATTCTGACAAAACATTTAAAATGTTATTTTCTAATGAATCTGAAAATTTCATATATATAACTTCTGTAGATCCTAATTTAAAATGAAAATCAGGGGTACCTCAACATTTTCACTAGCACTATACAACTAATAAGACAATAAATATAATTTGGTAGTAATAGCTAGCTTAATAAAACCTATTCTAATGTAATTTATACTAATAATAAAAATAATACTTAATAGATCATTGTCTCAATTCGAAAGGTAACGTATTCCAAAACTCGGAGCGGCGTGCAAAAGTAACAAAGTGGGATTTGGCAATAGGAATGTTTAAAAAGCATCTCGAGGATCTGCGGGGCGATCTGGCAAGCTCATGTCGAAATACATTGAAGATTTTGACAATATTTTGAATATTAGGACTGCAATTTAAAATGATTCGAACAATGAAAATGGAATGGAAAAGCATGGAGGATGAATTAACAACGCTTAATAAACAAAAAACGATTAGCAATTGTCAACTTGCATTATTTGTGGATGTAGGTATCGACCAAAAAGTTGCTTGGCCAAAATATAAAATTCATGTTTATAACAACTTTGGTCAGCAAGTTAGCTAAGTAAGTGGTCGGCAAATTAGCGTAGTCGGTAAAAAAGTTTTGTATTTAGCTAGTGTTATACGATAACTTGGTTCGAATACTGTTTGTAACGCGCGTGCATGAGTGTTAAAGCTTTTGCGGCACAAAAGTTCAATTCTAAGTATAGAATTATATAAAAGCAATCTTTCTTTGGCATAAAAATTAGCAAAAAATTGTAATAAATGACGTCACATTACCTGTACACGTCTTTCTGTCAGCTAATAAAGTTCTTCCGGGATTGCATGAACAATTGAAGTGTTTTTTATTAACTTGATGGCACACGTCACTACAAACTGGTTTCCAAAGACCATTTTGGCGGAAAAAACATGGAGCACGATCTAAATTCAATAAAAAAAATTTAAATTCAATGAAAACAATTTTAATTTTAGATATGAAATACAGAGGCAAAAAATAAATGTTAGAATTTATTTTTAGTCAGTTTCATGGTTATATATTTGTAATTATCACTTAACTATTTTATAAATAAAAATTTAGAAAAGCATATAATTAAATAAATTTTAAATGTTTTATAATTTCGCATATTAATTTAATTTTTTACTTTTTTGTAAATTTTTAACTCTTTCTTTTAATATAAGTGGAACGGGATTATATAAAGCATTAAAACTTTATTGAACTTGTGGAATGTGCATGCATATTTTTTAAATTTCTCTTTGTGAAACACTTAGTTTTTGCAAAGTTATTTAATTATAATATAAGCATAACGAACCTTTAATGCACAAATATCCATACCGCAAAACATAACCTTGAGGACATAAGCAACGTCGTTTGCCTCTATAGGACGTTACACAAACGTCACTGCAAAATGGTTTTTTTGAGGAGCAGAGACTGTTGTGGTCTTTCATAAATTTAAATAGAATTTAATTTTTAATAACTTTGAATAGCAATAACTTCATTTTAAATATTATATACATGTATAATGAAGATAGATTGACAAAATATTTAAAAGTTTGCCAAAAAAAGTTTTTAAATTTAAATTAAAAAGTTTAATAAAAATTTACTTTTTTTAGAAATATTAGCTGTTATCATCGAAACAAATTTAACGTTATCATTTATTAAGATGGTTTTGACGAAATCATCAGGTGTGGAATCATCAGAGGCAACATGCAGACGATTCTGATCAATCCATATCAGACGGTTACGAAGGTAGGTGAAACCAAGAAGATATGGAGATTGTCTGAAAATATATAAAAAAAAAATTTTTACTGTCCTAACTTTAACGGTTTTATCTTTCTGAGTAAAAGAAAAAAGTTTTTTGTTTTTTTTTTAAGTTTTTATAGTTCATTTGTTTGTTTATTTACATTATACAGAACTATATAAATAAACAAACGAATGAACTATAAAAACTTAAAAAAAAAAAATAATGTATTTACATTATACAGAACTATAAGATCTGCTAGCATCTAGTGCAGAGGGTTTACAGAAACTGATCGAGTTGACGTATGAAGGTGGAAGAAACCATGGACTACACATCAACAGCAGTAAGACAAAGATAATGATTTCGGAAGCATGTGGAAACAATGATGAATTCCAGATAGGAGCAGAAAAGCTCGAACAAGTGAACCAATGTATATATCTGGGCAGCCTCATAACTGATGACAATAATTGTTCGAAAGAAATTGATAGAAGAATAGCAATCACGAGAGGAATGTTTGCATCTTTGAAAGTAATATTGAAAAACGGTAATGTATATACAAAAACAAAGGTAAAGATCGTAGAAGCGTGTGTGTTTTCTACATTGATGTATGCATGTGAGGCTTAGACGTTGAAGAAAAGAGACAAAGACAAACTGGAAGCATTCGAGATGCATTGTTATAGAAAGTTGCTGGGAATCAGTTGGAGACAAAAGATAAGAAACGATGCCATAAGAAAACAACTTGGAAGACAAAAAACTGTGTATGAAAGTGTCAAGGAAAGAAAGCTGGGTATCTTTGGGAACATCTGCAGAATGACAGACGACAAACTGATCAAAAAAGTACTGATGAGAAAGAGGGACTGGAAGAAAAAAGTTGGAAGACCTGTGAGGAAGTGGATGGATGATATCACGGAATGGACGGGGGTTGGAACATTGAGCTCAATGAAGATGGCGAGGGAAAGAAAAGGATTTTGGAGAGATAGAAGAATACCATCGGCCTCAACGGTCCCTTAAGGGATTACAGAAGATCATTGAATGAATGAATGAATACAGAACTATAATTAATTTCAACAAAATAGTAAAAAAAAATTTTCTAAAGATTTTGGTTATTATTTTTGTTTCTGAAAAAATAATTTCATTTATTTTGAAATTTTTTTGCTTTTGCTTTTAAAATTAATAATTATTTGAGTATTTTATTTCTTCACTCTAAAATCTTTAGTGCAAAACATAAATTTATATGGTTTGATTTGATTTTAAATATATTATTCTTTTGAATAAAGTTTCAAAATTTTAAACTTTATTAAATAATCATCATATCAATCAAATTGTTGCGTCGCATTATAAAACTTAATCTGATTTAAAATATTGCAAGAAATATGTTTTGTGTAACATAAATGTTGAACAAACCTAATAACGTGAACGTTTTTGATATGTTCGGTCAAAATTTTGTTATCATCAAGAGTACCCTCATACTCGCTGTCATTTGTATTAGTATAGTCATGGCTTTCAACATCATCATTAGGAACTTCCAACTGCCCACTGAAAATTGTGCCTATAGCAGTTTGCATCCAACTTATTTTTCCATTCTCAATTGTGATACCATCGATGCATCCTTTTTTGGTTAAATATGTATCTGTTATTTCCACAAGATTCTGACAAAACTGGCCTGACAAATCACAAGAGAATAACTTATTGGTTGTGCGAGAGAAAGAATCAGTATCACATTGAGAATAATATAGTCGCCTGCGTTGATCAGTTAATAATTAATTAATTAATTAAATTATTAATTAATAAATTATTTAATTGGTTAAATAATTAATTAACATGTTATGAAATAATAAAATTGTACCTATATATTTCCAATATATATTTATTTACAAATTTCATAAATTTACTGACTAGAAACATTAAAGATGACTATAATGCATTGAATGGAGAATTAGAAAACAAAAAAAAGATTTTCAATGAGATTAAATCTGATTTGAATAATTTATTACAATAGATGGCACAACTTAAACATCCGGAATAATGTTACGACTAACATTGAACATTTTTTACAATATATGGTAAATAATTACAAAAAATAAAAATAATTAAAATCTACCGTAAATTAAACAAACTGAAAAATGCCATACCAAATGGACAAGACCACTTCCTTAATCTAAGTCAATGCACATTGACACAGGATGAAAAAGAATTTCTCACTCTTAGCATCAATTGCTACTATCTCAAAAAATCAAAACAATTAGAGAAAGAAATTGAAATTGAAATTTTGATAAAAAAAAACTCATAGATTTAGAAGGAAAAAAGTTAATCTAAATGAATAGCGACATTGCCATTGATTTGAAAGCTGAAAGTAAAAAACGTCGTGGCTCATACAAAAGCAAATTGATGAAAAAAATAAAAAGCTATTGAACACTGCAAAATCCTTGCAAAATAACAACAATATAACAATTTGAAAAGTTGACAAAACATCCGTGTATGTCATTTTAGATAAAAAAAGAACATAACAAAATCAACACCATTTCAGCCGATGCTAAAAATTTTAAGAAAATTAAAACACCCGTTTTAAAAGCCAAATTAAAAGATACAAAACCGGAAATTTCAGAAGAATATAAACCTGAATACATGTATGGCAACATGAAAACACACAAAAATGACAATCCAATCAGACCTATAATAATCAGTCAAATTCCTACTGTAATCCATCCAATAGCTAAACTCCTAACGGACTAATAACTCCATACACACTCAATACTTATAATATAAAGTCAAGTAAAGAATTGATTGATATCTTGTCAACATTCAATCCGACAAATGGTACTACAGTCGCATCATTGGAGGTTGAATCCCTGTTTACCAACGTACCTCTAAAAGATACCATTAATAAGTTGTAATTCCGATATCACCCCACTGGATATTCTTAAAGACCATCTTAAAAAACTTCTTGAAATATGTACTGTGGATATAGTCCCGACATTTCATAGTCCCGACAACCAGCTTTACAAATATGTCGGATTTACTGTTACGACTTTATCAAGAAGGTTAACAATGCATAAGCAAAATGGTGCAATAAAAAATCATTTTATGGATTTACACCAAATAAAAATAACAAGGGAAATATTAAACTCAAATACCAAAGTGTTATATTACAACTATAATATAAGTAATTTGAGATTGGCAGAGGCTTTAATAAAAAATAGAAACCCTGTATTAAACATCCAACAACAGGCTGTAACGATTCTACCAACTAAAAATTACTCACACAAAAAACAATGGAACTTAGAATTTCTTTATTAAAATTACTATAAATACATGATAAACTACAGATAATAGAGTTTGTGATATTGTTATCTGTAGTTCATCAGGTACTCATCACAAACTCTATTACACTGATGATGGTAAAGGTTACAGAAAAAGCTTAATGTAAATGTATATATGAAAAATGCAGTCTAAAATAATGTATATATAAAAAATGCAGTCTAAAATAATTAGAAATTTTATTATTAATTTGAATAAATTGAATAATATTGATAAAATAATTGAAAAACATAGTTACAAACTCAACAATTTTGAAAATGCGGTGATATTGCTTAATAACTGTATACATACATATATATATATATAAATATATATATATAAATATATATATATAAATATATATATATATATATTAGGGTGGTTCACATTTGAATGGGGAAAAAAATTTTTTGTCTGATTTGAGTGCACACCCTCTGAAAAGTTTCCATTGGGTCCTAAAAACTTACAAACCAAAAATAAGACAAATCAAATTAAATTTAGAGGTTGCTCATGCATCTCAAAATTATATAAAAATGTGATAATTCATTATTTCGAAACCAAATACAAATATAACTGGAAAAGTATCAAAAGTTGGTTACTTACTTAATTCAAAACATAGATATTAGATATTTTAAAATGCATTATTATTATTAAATATTCTATGGTCACCATATTTGTTGTCAGCAAAAAGTAAAATAGGATAAATATCTGCATAATTTAACTGTGTCGATTTACTAGTAATTTGAGGTGATTTTGAAATACCGGTACTGTACATATTTAACTACGTATAAAATGGCTTCTAATTCAAACTGTGGTGCTCTTACAACACGCAGCATGACTAACATATGGCTGATTGGACAGTTACAAAGTGAACTTCCAGTAAATGTATTGCCTACAACAGGTGATGTCCTGAGAATGTTTTTTTATTATCATCAAGTAGAAAAGAAAACTGTGCCTGAAAGTGCAAAACTGTCGTCAGATAAGGTCATGGACATGTGGAACAAGGCTAGAATACCAACAACCTACCATACTCATGTTGTAGAAAAAGTAAAGTCGGTAGTTGATGACTACAAGCTAATAAAAAAGAACAAAAACAGACAAAGTGAAGCACAACGAGCACGAGAGAAGGAATTTGAAGAAAAGGAGCACATGCTGTTTGATATTGCTCACCAACACGCCATGCAGCTCATCCGAATTCAGGAAGATATAGAATTTCTTGAAGACCAGAGGGGTAGTCGACGAATGCAAATGAGTGGCATTGATAAAGACCTGACCAAGAAAGAAGAGCGCACAGAACAACGTAAATGCAAAGAAGAAGAGAGAAAAGAGCGAGAGCAGGAGCGGATGACAGAAAGTACCTCACTACATTTATCTAGTTCTGATGACAGTGATAGTGAACAGCAGGACACAGAGGACAACTATGAAATTGAAATTCCAGTGTACTACAAAAAGCAGATCAGTGAAGTAGAAGACAGTCTGTCAAGCCGTGCCAGCAAAAAAACACGAACTGTGCAGGATATGTTGTCGTCGCCAGATGTTGCTTTAGCACTGGATAGAATAAACCTGTCAGATAAAAAGTTCAAAGTATTAGCAGCAGCCATTGCACAAGCTAGTGGGCAAGACATCAGGGATACATCTTTGTCACGTTCCACAGTTCATCGTAAACGACAGCAACATCGATCAACCATTGACAGCAGTATTCGTCAACAATTTCAGGATCGTGACAGAAACCCCCTTCTGGTTCACTGAGATGGGAAGATCATGAATGATGATTCACACTCCAGAACTGATAGACTGGCTGTTGTTGTGACTGGCTTTAATGTGGAGAAAATCTTAGGAATTGTTAAAATTGCATCAAGCACGGGACAAGCACAGGCCATGCAACTTTTCAGTTGCTCAAATTATGGGACGTTAGTGAAGACATTATAGGCATGTGCTTTGATACTACTGCTGCCAATATTGGGACGTCAAGTGGAGCATGTGTTTTGCTGGAGAAACTGCTCCATAGAAATCTCTTGCACTTTGCTTGTCGTCATCATGTACATGAATTGATAATCGGTGAAGTTTTCACAGTTCTGTTTGGTCCAAGCCGTGGCCCCAACATTGGAATGTTTGAAAGATTTCGAGCCTACTGGCCAAATATAAATCAGTCAAACCACAAGCCACTTGATGATGACAGGATGAACCACTCATTGCTACAGATGATGCGGTCTGACATAGTACCATCTTTGACATGTTTTCTTTCAGCTGACAGCTCTTACATCCCACGAGAGGATTACAAGGAGTTGGTTGAACTCTGTCTCTTAGTGCTGGGTTATCCAATGCAGACTGATGGCAAGTACCATTTCCGTGTTCCTGGAGCATATCACATGGCCAGATGGATGGCCAAAGTGATCTACTGTCTCAAAATGTATTTGTTCCGCAATGAATTCAAGCTAACAGCAACTGAAACAAAAAGTTTAACTGAATTCTGCCTATTTGCAACCCATATATATGTGCCAGCATGGATGTTGTGCCCAATACCCAGTGATGCACCAGTCAATGACCTGCAATTTCTGAGCAGAATTGAACAATACTCTGAAATCAACAAGAATGTAGCAAGTGCTGCCACAAAAAAGTTGAAGAATCATCTGTGGTATCTCGGTACAGAAATGGTTTGGCTGTCATTGTTCTCAAATAAGGTTGCAAATGCTGAGAAGCAGTTGATTGTGGAAGCAATGACTGCAGTAGATTCTGACTGGAGTGTGCGAGGTGTCAAATATCCTGCAACTGAACTGGAACAGGTGAAAAGCAAACCACTGCATGATCTGGTATCAGGTACATCTCGTGCTGCATTGTTATCACTTGGAATGGATGTTGCTATCTTGCGTAAAACTGAACCAGACTCATGGAATGATCTTCCTTTATTTCAAAAAGTAGCAAATGTTGTGAAGTCACTTAAGGTCGTTAATGACACTGCAGAACGCACTGTGGCACTCATGACAAATTTTAACCAGTCTATAACCAAAAATGAAACAGAACTGCAAAAACTGATACAGGTGGTGGAGGACAATCGAACACGTATTCCGGACTCCTCTAAGCGCACATTAGCCAGTGCTCAAGCAGCTGCTGTTACGTTTTGAGTCTGACATACTATGAGTGATTAACAGAAAAATATAAACTGAGTACATTAATTGCCTCAAGCTAATTTCAGTTTCTCAATCAAAGATTAACAGTACTGAACTTTCGTTTGGCATAATCAAGTCGCCTTTACCTTGTGAGAACTGTTTGTTTAGTGTTGAATATTTTGTTATTTGAGTATAAATTTGTAGAACTGTTAAATCTTACATGATTTTCACAAGAATGTTGTTCATTTTACTGCAAAATAAACATTAAACACAAAATTGTAGCACTGACCAATATTCGCTTATATGCTAAATATGGTGAAAAACTGAATGTCATTGAGCAACCTCTAAATATTGTCAGAATTGAATGAAATTTTGCACACATGCTAACTTTCAGCTAAGGAAAAAATATAGGGGGTGTGCACTTAAATAATAAAAAAAAATTTTTTTTGAACCACTTTAATATATATATATATTTATATATATATATTTATATATATATATATATATATATATATATATCTATATATGTATATATATATATATATATATATATATATTAACGCCAAACATTCGATAGATTTTATAGAATATTGTAAAAATTATGGTCTATTACCAACATATATGAATATATATATATATAAATAAATATATAAATATATATATATATATATGTATGTAATATATATATATATATATATATATATACATATATATATATGCGAAAGCCAACCAGACTTGACGGCCCAGTGAAAACAGGCCAGGGTTGTGCGAAAGCCGACCGACTGACTGACAGGCCCAGTGAAAACATGCCTTGAATTCTGTGAAAACGAATCGCCTCGTTGTTTTGTTTTTGTTGTGCTATTTGTGGACCTAGGGTTATTTGCTGGATTCTATACGCACGCAGCTTGGAGTTCCCATAGGCTCCGATTTTTGTAATTTTTCTTCATTCATTTCATTTATCTCTTGGAGTTGTATCAACACCACCATCGGTCACACACGTCGAGGTTTTACGATTGAACGGTAAGAAACATATCCCAAGTTGCCCGACCCCAACAAGAAGAAGTTCTAATTCCTGTATTCTAGTTTGTTCATTGACATTATTTTTAACATTATTCTAGAGTTCAGTTAGTTCAATTCCTTTTCATTTATTTTCGTCGATTAAAAAAATTGTTATCGAATATTTTACGCGTTCGCGTGTTACTCAGTAAAATCATATAATTCGAAATAGCCCAGTGCCACACAGGACTGGTCGAACTCACGATAAAAATATACAAATATTATTGTCGGACCATAAAAAAATTCCCTGAGAAAGATAGAGAAAGAGATTACCTCTTTTTCGTACAGACAAACATATATATATATATATATATATATATATATATATATATATACATATATATATGTACTGTGCTGTGCCTCTATACTGTATATACTGTGCCTCTACTCTAATTTGTTGATTCCTTGCTTGTTTAAAGTAAATACCACGTGAAATCATGTGGAATCAACAAAGCTATAAAGAAATTTCCTGCAAAACTACGTATATAGTATTTGTTTAGTAATTTCATTTAGTTTTCCACATCGATTTGTCTTTGGAGTTTTGTTTGTCGAGTTGCATCAAACTACAATAAAATTAGTTAATTTAAATTAGTTATTGAATTTGGCAATATATTCGATATGTCTTCAGCTACTTCAATAGTAACTAAGATTGAGTTACAGTGTTTAATAGATGAGAAATGTCCTAGCCTATTATTGAAAAAAAAGTGTTTTTACATTTTATTATTTGTTTCTGTAAATAAGACTTACATTGATTTTATATAACAATTGTCCTTATGACTATGCAGTTGGCTTATGCTTATTTTTATTCCTCGAATAACTAATTGTGTCTTAAACAATTGAAATATAATTTATTTATTTATTTTTATATGTTTGTTAATTAATGCAGTGCACTATTTCAACCAAATGTTTAATTTAAATACTAAAATTTTTGAAAAGCATTTAAAAAAAATAATTTGTACGGCACATTTTTAACTACAATTTAAACTAAAATATGTTTGTTTCATGACACTAAAAAATTATTTTGTTTCAGAATATGCAAATATATGGAAAAACTTTGATTTGATATATTTGGACAAGTTTTATCTAGATTTCGTTCACTGCAGAAATTGTCGCAGTTGTAACATACAAAAAGAACGATGGAACGACTGGTTTACATTTTCACAAATGTAAAGCTTTAGACAACAGCTATTCAAAACAACCATATCAAAGAAAGATGGAAAATTTTGTCACAACTCAAAACCCTTTCAAAGTGTCTTTAGATCAGCTAAATAGAAAAAGCATAGATGAATGCTGTTAATTTAATTGTGAAAAATTTGCGATCATTCAATGTTGTGGAGGGTAAAGGATTCATATTTTTTTGCCAAACTTTGGTGGATTTAGGATCTAAATTTGGCAACTTTGATGTCAAAAGTCAGTTGCCAAGTCGTTGAACAAGTTCTAAAAAGTTGCGAAAAAGGTTCACATGGTGAAAAAACATGTCTAGCAACAAATTTTGAAAGTAAATATGTGTCCATTACAACGGATTTATGGACAGATGATTTAAAACAATTTCTTTCTTAACTGTAGTTGGGCATTACTTTTTGGAATCTTTTTCCTTGCAGTCATGCATTTTAAAAACAGTGTCAATTGAGGAATAAAAACAGGAGATAAAATATTTAAAGCAATTGATAGTGTTCAATGGCGTCACTAGGGGGTGCGGGGGGTGCGGACCACACCGGGTGACACCCTCACAGGGGGTGACACCAAAATATCACTGTATATGTTTTTATGTCCCTCCATGAAATTATTCTTATCATTAATTCAGCCTAACCCGCCCAGCGCCCAGAAATGTATTATGAATAAAATTTTTTTCGTTCAAATCATTTTTGTATTCGACATTTATACCATTCAAATTCGACGTCCGAATTATTAAGCGCCGCGGCCGAGCACATTTAACTTGTTCGTGTTTATAAATTTTGCTAAGAATGCTGTATGTCTATGGGGTGTCATGAGAGGGGTGACACCATGAGTTACCGCACCGGGTGACACCAACCCTAGTGACGCCACTGATAGTGTTATCAAGTATTTTGGTATAAATATTGAAAAGATTATAGTTGTTACTGGCAACGCATCAAATATGATTTCAGAATTTCGTGGCAAGTGCCAGAGGCCAAACTAATTTGCTCACTGCTTAAATCTGGTTTTTCAAAACATACTGAACAATTTAGAAAAAATTCAGCCTGTTTTAAATATTTGTAAAAATTTATTCAGACATTTTAAACAAGCTGGCATTCAACATGCTTTATCTAAAACCTTAAAACAGGAATGTCCAGCCCGATGGAATTGTGTTACAAATATTTTAGCCAAGAGGAAAAAGTTGATATTTATAATCAATCTCAACAAAGATGTTCTTATAAACTTATTAAACTTTTTGAAGCCTTTTAAAACTGCTTCCGCAACAGTTTGTTCGGAAAGTGAAACAACCACTCATTTAGTTGTGCCACTAATGTACCTGTCTTATCTTTGTGACATTGATAAAAATGATGACTAATATATAACAAATTTAAAGCCACTGACTAAAAATTTTCTAGCATCAAAAGTTCGACACGATATATGATATTACACGAAGTGGCAGTATTTTTGAACCCATGCATGAAAGGTTTGTTTTTTGTGCCAGCTGAAAGAAAAAAAAGTTTTTGAACATGTCTTTATTATATTATATGACGAGGAAAATTTAAAAAATTGCATGAAAGAAAAAAAAATTGCATGGCACACTGAATGCTTAATAGACTTTTTTGATTTTCATGACTCAGATAACGATAACCAAAAAAATGAATTCGCGGAATACATGAATATAAAAGTCAATTAGAAGTTTGGAACAAACATGAATTTTTGTTTCCAAAATTACACAACTTAGCCAAAAAGATATCTATTCCGGCAACTTCATCGTCAAGTGAAGGGGTATTCAGCATTGCTGGGCGTTTTTTAGAAAAAAGAAGGACAAGCTTGTCTCGAGGAAATTTAGACAATTTTTGGTTTTTATATAGCAACATAGAAAAATAAATTGCTATAACTGAAATTCATTATTAATGTTTTATAATTATTTTAAAAAATTTGAATTTTTACATTGTTTAAAAAGGTGTTTGTAAATTTACTTTTAAAAAAATTTGTTTTTTGTTTTCAAAAATTTTGAAAATGGGAAAAATGGAGAACTGGAGGGATCATGAGAAAAAACGCGAGAATGAGTTGAAAAATAGGGAAGGGAATTTTCGGGAACGTTGTCATAAATGGGAAATCGGGAGGGAATCGGGAATGTGAAAAAATGGGAGTCGAGAGTAGAAGTCAGTAATCAGAGTCGGAATTTTTTGATATTTTTTTCCAACTCTGACACTGTTTTGTTGAGTGCTCCATGAGTTTCTGATTAATATAAGCTAAATAATACGCTCTTGATAGATTTATTTCTAGTCCCATGTTTTATTATATAAAAACTTTTATATAGATATTTTCCATAACACTGTAATTTAAGAAAACATTCCTTTCCAATTTCCTTTAAATCAATTTCAAAATCTAAAGCGAAATTAGAAAAGAGAGTTTTCTTAAATTACCGTGTTATTGAAAAAACCAATTCAAAAAAGTTTTGAATTTACAAAGGAGTATTAAATTTAATGAAATATGTTAAAAAATTATAGGTCTGAGGACACTGCCCTGTAGCACTACATTCAAGATCGGTAACTTAGTAAAATTTTAACATTGACTATAACATACTAGAAGCCGTAATAAGTTCAAAATATTTCCTCTGATACCATAATGCTGTAATTTGTATAAAAGAATGTCATGTTAGATGCTATCAAATGCTTATAACAAGTGGTCATCATATGAGTATTTTGTTTAAAAACATCGCTAGTATAAATTTAGTTTCATATAACATTCAATTACTTAAAGCAACAGGAATATGTTCAAAAGCAAATCACTGACGCCTTGATCACTCGTTCATTTTTTTTTGTTTTTAAAGCTTGAATAATTGGTTGTTATTTTCCAATAACAAATAAATTTCATTCCTGCGTCCATGAAATCTATTTCCAAAAATTGTGTTGATAGCTGAGTGTTAGAATTGGAGACGGTCGGATTCGAAAATTATGTCGGAGCCGGATTTTGTGAAGAGACTGGGAGTCGTAGTCGGATTTTTTATTAATTCTGAAATTTTTTTTAAGATCATGTTTTTAAGA